TTAGCTCATACCTGCAATTTTAGCCCTTTCAAGGCAGAGGTAGAAAGGAGATTATTCCAAGTTTAAGGCTAGCCTGGTGTAAATAATGAGTTCCAGAGCCCAGCTAAGGCTGCACAGTAAAACTTTGTCTCACAAACAAACAAATAATTGAAGAAGAAGAGGAGGAAGAAGAAGAGGAGATCCCAAACAATGAATGCACTGTGGTTCATTCCATTTAATAATGATGTGGTTCATCATCAAAAATAGATGAACCTTTAAATGCTACACTAAGTGAAAGAAACCAGTCACAAAGGACCGCACACTATATGAATCCATTCCTGCGACATGGCTAGAATTAGTAGATTGACAGTTGCCTAGGCCTCGGTAGTAAGAAGGGCATGGAGGAAAGAGGGAATTATTTTTAAGGGGCAAAATGTTATAAAAATGTTCTAGAATTAATGATGGTGATAATTTTATAGTTCTATGGATGTACTAAAAGCCTTAAATTGTTTGCTTCGGTGACTTATATGATGTGTGAACTATATCTCAATAAAATTGATATACAGAAAAATGTTTTGGTATTAATAGTCTTTCTAGTGACCATAACAATAGGATTAATTGTGTAGATCCATCTAGTCTTGCACAAACTAATTCAATAGTACAGTTAATAAATTGCATGATATTATTGCATCTGAGTCTCGACATGAATTAAACCACAGAAAGACAAGTTTAAGTGTCTTCTTGAGGATTTGAATGGGCTTAGAAAGGTGTCTAGAGACTTTACAAGATTTCTATGCTTGTTCCATGTGCTGACGTATGCCATGCAAATTAAGAGAAATATGGAAAAGAAATTTCATTAATATATTTTATGTACACTATGCAGTATAAATACATTACCAAATATAGTTTCATTAAAATATGCCCTATTTGTTGTGACTGAGTAAAGGTCCATGTCATTTAAAAGCCATCTTTAATTAAACCAGTACATTAAAAATAATCCTAATCCTGCTATGTTCTTTGTAAATATATATAAAGATAGATAGATACACACACATATATCTGTGTACATAAAGCTCAAAATAAAGATACACATATATATGTATATACTCCAATGCATGTAACATTTCAATAGAACAAGCTTACTGATATTAAGCCAAGTATTAAGAAATAGATATTACATGAATTCATACTTGAAAGAAATAGTCAAAACTCCCATTCTGACTACACTTTTTACACACTAGAAAACTGGGTCAGAGTGATTTTTTTTTTTTTTTGCACAAAATCTCGATTGAGAAAACCATGATGTGCGACCAACTTCTCTAATTACCAAGACAATCATTTTTTCACTCTGACAAAAATCTCAAAAGCAACAACTTACTGCACATCTACCCACATATAAAGAAATACCAAGCTGAACATCTGTTGGAGGTTTCTGTAGTTAATTACTTACATTATCTACTTCTATCCCCTAGTGGGTTGATTTTATTCTGTCATAATTATGGACATCAACTTACTACTCAAGCATTTAACTCCATCCCCGTGTCACTTATTTGCAGAAAAGATAATGGGATTAAAATACCAACGTGGTCAGAAATTATTTAATGAAAATCTAGTTGCCAATGCAAATTGTGGGAAATCCTTTATGTAGGTGAGCCGGCAAGTATTTATGAGGAAACTCACACCAAAATAAAGCATTCTTTACAAATACCCAAAGACACCACAGTAAGGCACTCAGCAGCTATGCCATGAGTTACCAGTCACATGGAATGGTTCCTTTAATGGTCCTACACTAGACTTCAAGAGAATCTGTGATTTCACTAAGGGTCTCTTTTTGTACTGTATTCTTCTCTTAAATCTTCCCAGAAAGGACCTTTCATTTTTTCCCCCTCCTAATCAAACATCCAGTTATCTCCCCAAACTGCTGTTTATTACACAATGAAATTTCAGCTACTAGTAAGTTTAAACTTGGAGGGGGGAGCAATGATGACCTATTTGCATTTTGAATGGTTTCATTATCTCTCACAACTTCATGAACTGACATACAGAGTAAGCCCTCCCTTATATAGGCCACACTGTGCCTCCTCAGGGAGGCATGAAGGTCTCCTGACCCTCTACATTCCAGAAATCAGGGGTCAGCAACAGTGTGCCCCACTTGTGAAAAGCTGTTGACCTCTGGGAGGGGGCTTGTATGGAAGCAAGGATTAATTTTCAGAATGTGACTGGTCTTGATAACAACACCCTCATCCCATCTCCCTGTGCCCTGGAATGTTTTCCAGTCAAGAGGCCTAAAAGTAATCTGTCATCACCGGTTAGCGGCTCAAGCAGATCATTCCTACATCCTTGCCTGTCTCTCTGGACCCGAACAAAGCATGCTATTCCACCTTCTCCCCTCACATCCAAACTGTCATATGTTCAACATTTGTCAGGGCCTTCACCTTCAATGACATGGTCACCACAGTGAGACATTATATTGGACACAAGAAAAATGAACAGCAGACTCATTTCTCCCTGCCTTGTAGTGGAGAGCTACCGATTTTGTGTCTGAGGCTATGTACGAGTGTTTTATTCTTAAAAAAAAAAAAAAAATATATATATATATATATATGCAATTAAAATGATTACTCTCCAAGACCATAAAAGGGTTTTATAATGTACTTTAATATAATTTCTTAAGCACTTTTTAATAAAATACAGATAGATAATTATAATAATCAATGCATGTATGTCATTTAGTACAACAATAAAAGGTTAGTCTTTGGCGTGGCATGTTGATTATTATTTACAGCAAAACCTAAAAGACAACAGCATTTGTACAATATTGCTAAATTTTACCAAAATGATTAATAAAAATGTCTACTCACATCATGGCATCATCTCAAATTACCAACAGCAAAAGGGAAAATGCTCCACCTGATGCTTTCTCAAGATGGAAAAACCATCCTCCTTGAATTATAATAAGCACAAAGGCTGGGTTCATTCTCAAAGCCTTTTTTCCAAATCGCTGTCAAGTTAATAAGACCATGCATAAACCTTAGCTAGATCTACCTATTGCAAATATTTCCCATCCCTTTACGCTACCCTTAGATTTTAAAATTATTATTATTTGATGATATTCTTATGAAATTCATGGGGAAATCTGTCAGTATCTATAAACAGAGACAAACCCAGAATGCATTCTGTCTAAACAGAACATTCCCCTAAATATCCAACAATGACCCTGTTCAGTAAAGATGTAAACCTGGAGAGAGATTCCTTCCAGTCCAAATCAGGGATACGTTAGAGCAAGACTATGGATAAACAAAAGGAAATCATTCTTTTTGTTGTTAAACATGAAATGTAAAGAGCAGCTGGGCAGACAGAGCACTTCAGTTTTTCAGCAAAAGAAGCTGTGTCATCCTTTTTTCTGTGTATCTCACAATCTGCTATCAAAGTTCTTTCTTTTGAACTCTTAAGTCATGTGTTCATTTTAGGCACTCTTAGAAGCCAATCCTGTTTTCATTTCCTCACTTCCAAACTTAAAATGCTGTTGAGGTTAAAAGGTTTATAGCTCACTTATCATAATGAGTATCTTCCTCCTTGGTCCTCCTAGGAGGCCTTTCTAGTAATGGACTTTGGCCTTTGACTACAACCACAAGACAGATTGCTGGAGATAACCCTCTGAAATTCCTCACAGCGCTACCACCATAAAGGCAAGGCCTGTCTGTTTTGGAAAAGAGTCAGACAGGGAGATAAGGCTAGGGAGGGGGGAACATTTCAATTTGTAGGAGTTATGAGACATAAATAAGTGGCATAAATGCCTTTTCCTTACTCATAGACCAGAGGTCAGGCAGCTTAAAGATGGAAAAAGGATTCTAAATCTAAAAACCAAGCTACACAAACGTCTAAGGGGTGGTTGACATTATTCCTTTAATTTACTAAAAATAAGTAAGTAAACATTACTCATTGGGACAAAAGAATCTGAGGTGTATTCATTTTCTTGCTTGTAGTTTCTTATTACATACAATCTAATACCTATCCTAGTTAAAACTGGAATTTTAAGATGTTTACAGGACATTTTAAGGGTGTTATTGATAAGTTAAATCATTTCATTTAGTTTATAATTTCAAAATAATGTTTTTTTTGCAAGTAAGTAAGAATTTTCTGTTCAATGAAAAGTGAAAAGTCACAAAGCTCTCCTCCACCTTCCTTCAGAAAATAAACACCAGTACAAGTTATGGATTTTTATACACCCAAGGTCTGTGGTAAACCAGAATAAGTGGGAATAGCTGGACAGTGGTGGCATATACCTTTAATGCCTGCACTTAGGAGGCAGAGGCAGGCAAATATCTGTGAGTTTGAGGCCAACCTGGTAGACAGAGTGAGTTCCAGGACAGCCAAGGCTGTTACATAGAGGACCCCCTGTCTCAAAAAAAAAAAAAAAAAAAAAGAATAAGCAGGAATGCAAAAAAGCTAAGCCTTTATTGTTATGGATACCTCAGAAATACCCTAAGCTTTAAGTGGCTTCTGCACTTGAGGTTCTCACATCATGTCCAAGATTAACAGAAATCACAGTGCTATCCGCACTCGAATACAAGCCGATGAGAGAGCTCTTCTGATGAATGAAGTTACAAATCTTTGGTTACGTGTATATGAACCCCATCGCTTTGCATGTGTGCATTAGAAAAGTCTTTGGTTAGCATCATTACCAACTTTCAAGTGTGCCATTTTGCTTTTAGAGTTTTGGTTTTTTGGTTTTGTTTTTTTTTTTAACTGAATAAAAACAGTACATGTAGCCAATATTCTGTGGAACTAGATAAACAAGGCAGAAGAGAAGGGCTTCGGTATACTACACACTATGTATATACAGCTTATACACATACCATCAGATAATTACAATCTTGCCGTGAGAAAGTTAAAATCCTCAGTGAGCCTTCATTTGCTACTGTATGTACATTTTTCCATATTGCTTTTTAAACAAAAAAAAAAAAAAAAAAAAAAGGAAGATCCACTAGATTCAAACGAAGTTTAACTTAAAGGCTTCCTCACACCATATGTGCCGACACTTGAGAAGATGACAGAGTTAAGCTTCCTAGGGTCCTGGAGTCAAAGAAACTCTGCTGGCCCCCACTGCTAAGCAGGTGCACTCCTTCCACAGGAGGCAACATCTGCCGATCGGTCATGGTCCCGCTCGGCGAGGATCCCAAGAAACTTCCTTGGGAAGAGACAATTTTCTCAGGACTGGCAGCCAGTTTTGGGGATGTGGAGAAGTTATATCCATATAAGGCACAGGGACTGTGTAACCGGAAAGTGTTGTAGGAGCCCTGATGGGTCTGGTTGGCGGCAAAGGCGTTGCTGGACGGCGAGGGCATGATGTACTGGAGCTGCGGGGACATCCCTGAGATCTGCATGGATAGGCTGGTCTGCGGGCAGCTGAAGGTGTCCCCGTCGCTGCCACCCATGGACATGTTCACAGAGGGGCTGCTGCTCACACCCACATAGGAAGGAGTCCTGGGTGGGGCAAAGGTCTCGCTGCCCTGGTTGGTGAGCCTGTTGTAGGTCTCTGCCAGGGACGTGCTGTATCGGTTGAGGGCGAGGCCCGACCGGGCACAGGCGGAATAGTCGGCAGGAGCCAGAGTACACAGCTGGCTGGTGTTCGGCCCCAGATGGAAGGCAGGAGAGGAACAAGAGGAGCCGGACAGCAGGTGAGGGTGTGTGGCAGGAACCCCATTCCCGGGACCTTGGAGTAGAGTGGAAGAACTTGTGCTGCCTGTAAGAGAAGTTGGAACGTAAGGAATGACTCCTCCCGCCATCTTTTCCTTTAAATTTGGTAAATGTGCGGCATAGAAGGCTTGTTACAAAGTGGGGGATTGCGAAGGTGAAAAGGTTGCTTAGCTTTCGGTGACTTAATCTCATTGAACTCAGACTGTGTAACTTAAACAAACATGCATCTTCTCAGTGTTTTTAAGCCAAGGACTGGTAAGATGGCTGCCAGGGTGGAAATAAGCAACCAGGCCTGATTGAACCTGAGGTCAGTCCCTGGGACCCACAAGGTAGAAGAAGAAAGTGAACTCTCCAAAATTGTCCTCTGACCTATATAAATGTGCTGTCTCTCTCCCCCCCACACACATACACACAAAAGGCACATGCATGTATACACATGCTAATAGCAATAATAATTAATAACAAAATAATTAATTAAATGTGATGAAATTTTAGAGGAATATTTTTAAGCCAAATTATCTCCATACGTAACGAAGAAGTTCTGTTATACAGAAAACAGTAAGACACTATCTCATGGAATTTTTATGTTCTGTCTCATTTTGCTTTCTCATAATTTTCTTATTAGTAAAAACAAACACTACAGATGCCAAACTTACCAGAAATTTTATAAAATTAAACATCATCTCATTTTGCCTCTTGTCCTAACAGTGTAATAAGTTGCTCTTTTCTACCTGCGCTATTTCCTTTCTCTCAACAGCCTTCTCTATCTTACAGCACACTTCCTTACAGAGAAACTGTAACTGGAAAGAAAGCACACAACTGGTCCAGGGTGGCCCTCCTCACGAACAGCTGTAGCTTCTCACTGAAGCTTGTGGACATCGATGACTGTACCACTTGGGTTTCTTCTATGCTATCCCTTGTGCCTCAGAAATCTCAACCTCAACTAGAAAGCAGGTTGGCAAATCACAGGCAACAGAAGAGCGAAGTTCTAACAAATAAACAACATTATGAAACCCAGACGGCTGTTTAATCCTACGACCAATCAATAACAATGATGGAGGCCAACTCCCTTCTCTGGATTTGCTGGCAGATTGATGTTTGCAAACTTGACATAACTCAAGAGGAATGGAGAATTCCAAAGGGCTGGACAGGCTGTAAAACCTTCCTTGTTCTAACAATAGTATTTCATTCTGCTTCTTTAAATAATCTAAACGCCCAAAACAACCAACGATAATAATCTAAACCTGAGTGTGTGAAATTCTCCCTGGGAGCTGGCAGTATCCTGGTAGAGTTTGCCTCAATGGGTGCCTCAGGATTACTTCCTGAGTAGACCAGAATGAAGATGGTACCCTTCTCTACGGAGACGCAAGCCCTGGGCTTGTGAGAAATGGGCTCAAAATGGTCTAATCCAGTGTTCCTGATCTCATCACAAACCCAGTTCAGAAAACCCTATAAACAGGCAATATATGAGTGATAGGAACAGACACGGGCAACTTCTTGTGGAAGACAGCTGGTTTCAGAGACAGCACCCCATGACTCAATGAGAGAGGCAGGAGGAAGTAAGCATTATGAAATAAACAGCTAAAACAGACAAGATTTAACCTCTAACACCACAGGAAAGCCATCTTTTCCAGGCCTGTCTCCTGTCATGCAGAAAAGGAATGGGTCCCAGAGTAGTAGGATGTTGGTGATAAACTCAGCAACAGCGGCGTAAATAACAAAGCGTGCATTTCTTACACCTCAGCCTTTTCTCAGGCATCTAGCTGTATGCATGACCCAGGAGACTGAATTACCTTGCTTTGGAATTCCAGGAATATCTTCAAAGGTAAGAGTCCGTAGTGATGGTCTCCAGAATGCATATGACTCCACCAGGGCCTCCAAACCCATCCTAAATGGAAGGGTCAGGACAAATGGAGTCTTGTTAGGAATGGTTGGAGTTTTCACTAGTAATAAGCATTTGAGTGACCAGCATGGCATTGGCAATGTCCCATCCCTTCTACACTTAGTGGTATGTTAGGAGATTGCCACAGGCGAGGAGAAATGCTTTGCACAGGGATGCAGGAAGAGAGAGGAAACCTACCACCATGTCTGCCAACATTCTCAGGACCCCACAGCTAGCACATGGACCTAAGGAGCTCAGCCCACGCTGACTACCAGAGCTCTGCAGTGGTCTGGTTCACTCTCTCTCTCGTGGGAGTTTGCCTTCTGATAATGAAGGAACATCCTTATTTCAAAGTCTCTTTTCGAAAGGTCATCTCTGCCCATCACTCGTACCTCAGGAGCTAGTTCAGAGAAAGAACCACTCAATAAAAACCAACTTCAGCTCTGGGGCACAATCTCCATTACCAACAAGAGGAGGCCAGGAGGGGGCAGCACTGGCCTCCCACTCAGCTCTGTGCAGGAGGGTCGGGGCGATCTGTTCTCTCTACGGAGCTCTATACAGTCAGTAGGATTGCTGTAGGTTACTATACAGCTTCACCATCCATACTTAATGCATTGCTGGGGAAAGTGACAAACTTGGTTGCAGGCTGTCTGTATAACATCCGCGTATTTTAAAACAAAAGCAACAACCCTAAATGCAAGCACGAAATAACTTTCTACCATAAATGATTCAGTCTTCCTCCCCTCTTATATTTGGCTAAGGAATACAGTCCAGGATCTGGGGTTGAAACTTTCCCCTAATTAGTCCTTCTCAAGGCAGCCCGAGACTTCACTTCTCATCTTCAACCACTTCAACCCTTAGCAATTTGTTAAAAAGCTAACATGGTAGGGGCCAGGGCATATCTCAATGATTTAACCACTTTCCTAGTATATACAGAGCCTTGGGTTCATCCTCAGCCCTACAGAAACAGAAGACCCTTCCTCTGGGTCAAATGCTACCTGGACAATTGTTGTGACTGTTATATTTCTTACTATTTTCAACTCAGCTACGTCTCCTAGTACCCCCAAATCAAGAACTAAGAACTAAGGCTAGAGAAAACCACAACCCAGTTATATGACCTCCCCAACACAGCGAAAGCTGCTCAAAGAGCAGGAAAGATTTGTACAATTGCTGTCCGTTCTTCATCAAGGTTTTACACATCCTGTTGTCATGGGGTCACATGGGGATCCTACTCATCTCGTGAGTCTCAGGGGAGGACTCATGCGGGAAGACTTCTGTGAGACATCACCAGCTCAGATGCTGCCAAATGGAGGGAGAGCATCTCAGCCTGCTTTTCCTGGGCTATGTGGATGGGAGGAATGGAGTCTGACTTCTGACATAATCTTTGTGTCATAGAAAGACAGAGAGGACTGTTTTGGGTAAAGATACTAGCCTGGGATTGGAAGAACCAGACTGTGACAAGCCCCTCAGACTAACTGTGTGAGAGGACCTTCCTGGATTTCAGTTCCTGAGAAGTGATGATTGGGCTATGAAGCTATGAAGTCCTGTTATATCCTGCTATAATTCATCCAATTTTACCTGTTTTAAAATTATTTAATTAATTTTTCTAAATCAGACATCATACTTGTGGCCAAACTACAAGCCAAATCCCCATGACTATACCACTCAGTAATATTTTCTATATGGTGAAATATTCCTTTCTGGGCATGGGCCTGAGCTGTCTCAATGCTGGTTTACCTGTGGGTTGTATTTTATATTGGACTAATGAATGTTAGATATTGCTTTGATGATCTCCCTGTATTTAGCTCACAACAATATTGAATATTTGCTACTTTCAAGAGAAAAGTTATTTATCTTAAGGAACACCGGTACACACTTATTTAAAAAAAAAAAAAAAAAAAAAAACACCTACTTTTTATTCTCACACAGGTTAACTTTGATAAAGGTAATTTTTGGATAGTAAAAATGCCAGTGTAATTATGGATCCGTCTTATTAAAAGCAGAAGTTTGTAGAAATGCAGAAGTGTGTTTTGCTGACTTATTTGTGTTAGCCATGTAAACTGAGTTATGAAAGGTTACTGACCAGAGCAAATACATAGTCCTACGCTTAAAGTGATGGCTCGGCGAGGGCACATCCACTGGAGCATTCTCGTTGGAAGCTCTTGATATGTTGCCTGGGGCATCTACTTCACACTGCCAATTCCACAAAGGATTTCAGATATTTTGCAGGAAACAGTTATAAAATATTTATTAGTTGAATCTGGACTTTTGTTAAAAAGCCTTCATTTTCTCCAGTAATGGAGACTTTTCCCATCTAGTTAAAGGAAAGATGAAAGGCCCCTCCTGCAGGAGGGTAGCCAAGGCGATAATTTATACAAGGTGCCTTGGAACAATCTCCACATTTACCAGCGCCCTCATTTACGCTATCAAATGGCCGAGTTTATTTAGTAAAATGGTTATGTTTTTCCTGAAGTATTTAAGGGAAGAAATTTTTGTACCTTCCTGAGTAAAAATTTTTATAGGGTCAAACCTAAGGCCTAACTGCGGAATGGGGCTATTCTCAGCACATAAATTCACTCTCACATAGCAAATGCCTGCAGGAGGGCTCCCAGCGGCTGAAGCTACTGATTCCTGTAAAACTTGCTGCAGAGCTGTAAGTGGCCGGGGAAGGGCACTTTCTAATCAAACAGAATTGTTTTTATAAAACCTAAGCAATCACGCCTATGTTTATCTGTGTCCTGATCAACTTGTTTATTTCACGTATAAGAAAAATAAGAATAAAATGTTTGTCTTAAAAAGCAGTAAAAATGCACACAGCGGAACAGGGATAATAAAGGAAGATTGCGAAGTTTTTTCATAGACTTTCCTTTCTATTAATACGTGAAAAAATATTATGTCGCTCTGTGCACTCAAAGCTCTATACCTTCCATGAAGCCGTACATATAACATGGGTTCTTTTTGTTAAAAGGAAAATGATATACAAATTTGAAATGTTTAAAATTGAAATAATTTTTTTCACAATGTTAAGGTTTGATTTTTTTCATGAGAAAAGATAGAAACTCTATTTCACCAACCAGAAAGTTCTAAACCCGTGGTTCTCAATCTTCCTAATGAAGCGACCCTTTAACACAGTTCCACAGGCTGTGGTGGTCGCAACTGTAAAATGATTTCTGTTGCAACTTCAAAATTGTAATTTTGCCACTGTTTGAAGAGTAATGTAAATATCTGATATGTGACCCCTGTGAAAGGGTCATTTGACCCCCACGGGGTATCGACCCACAGGTTGAGAACCAGTGGTCCACGCAGACACAACACTGTCAAGACTGTCTCTAATAGGATAGTCACTTGGAGCTAATGAAAATTTTGCATTTTAACAAAATTCAGTGTTAAAATATAAGTCGTTATTTCTGTGCATTTATTTAAAACACACAGGTTTTATTAGGTTTTATTCAAAAGAAATAACACAAAGTACCATATTTGGAAAGCCTAAATATTTCCAAACAGTGAAACCCATGTTGGACCTAGCCTGTGGCCTCCTAACTGAACAATAGGCTCCGTGGTTTATTTTCACCCATGACACTGATTTATCTTAAATAACACAATTTAAATAACCAAATATTTTCATTATACTGGAATATCTAGAATTCTTCTTCAAAGTTTATCCTATGAACCTGTCATCTGGCTTCTTATTAAAGGTTCGCTTGTTGCTACTTTCTGTCCAAAATATATTTTAAGACTATTCATAAGTCATGGCCTTGCAAATGAACTTCTCTCCAGTGTCAGTGGCAATGATATCTTTCCCAGGCTAATCAGCAACCTGGACATGGCTTCTGGCATTTACTAGCAAAGCTTCACTGAGGCCCGCCTATGGGTCTAATGAGTTTTAATGCATTGTTTTTCTGCTGAGGAAAAAAATTAACTGAAGCCGATGCAAGACTCTAAAATGGTGTTCAGATATAACCTAAATCACGGGGTTCAACCAAGTATTTGCCAAGAGGAAAAAGTCACCTCGCAAGTTCCCTTCTGCCACAGGGAGACTAATTTTATCATTAGTCTATCATTTTAGGACTAATTAACCATATTTTTTTTTAATTCGGTTGTCAAAAACATTCCTGCAAAGCAAGATAACCAGGAGCATAACAAAACAATTGCCAGGCACAACTTTTCACCACAAAACATACCTACAAAGACATAAAGCAATTTCAATGGTGGAAATAAATTTGTTAATACCTGCAAACCTTCCCATAGAGGGAAGCACTTCAGAAGAAGCTCTCCTATTGGTCAGCCTTGTTGATCCTCCCACACTAATTGAGAGGTCACTATCTTCACTGCATCTTAATTGCCTTTTAGTGCTATAACTGTGTTGTTTAGGTGATGCCACTGTAGATGAGGCTGACACCTACTCTCTTTAGCAGCTGAGCACATTTTGAGACCTATCTGTTACCTATCTTGACACATAATCAGCTGGAAAACAATAGAAATCCAGACTATCATCCAATTGCCTTTCTTTCTAAAATTTCAAGTGAAATTGTTCCTTGATAATTGAGGATGTTCATTTCATGTAGACAAACCCAGTTCATACCAGTTTCAAAATGTTTCAGATTAACTTGGGAAGTGAATTAATAAAGAAGTTCAAATGCCTCTTATTGTAAGATGTTTCTAGGAGCACGCATATCAAAACCTCACCTAAAAAGAGCACTTAGAGATTATCACCTTCTATTTGCAAGCAATTATTTTAGAAAATGTAACACTGAACTATACTGGAATAGAAACATTATCAATAAATTTAGAAATCTGCAGCAAACAGACTGAATGATCTAGTCCTTGAAAAAAGTAATAGAGTGGAATGAATTAATTATTGTAGCTATTCTACCTGGTGCAAACACCGTAAAACACAACACAGAAAAAAATAAACAAGTGTGCAGCTGTCAGTAGATCCAAGACAAATTTGGAAACTGAAGAGCTGCGCTTCTTGGCAACATAAAATGGTATCATATTCCAGTTGGAAATCTGAATTAACAAGAGATTCTACCATACTCTCCAGAGAGAATCAATAGACAGAGTGTCATCACTAAGGGCATTCTAAGCCAAAAATGGAGGCAGAAAGGACAATTTCTTGGAATATGAAAGCCCATGAGCCATACAGACAGTTTTCTCCTCGGCACCTTCAGAAATAACAGGTAATCTCTATGCCAGCAGCATGCATCTTCACCCCAGGTTCACGCATAAATGTACATCTTAGGGCAGGTCAAATGACTACACTCTATACCTAAGTTGACTCCAAGACACAATAATTTGACCATCTTAAATTCTTCTCAGAAGCGATTCCAATGTTAGCTTGTTAAGCTAACCTTAAAGCTTAAAGGAGAATGGGGGAAAAACACATTGAAACTTCAAATATATTTGCTAGAACAAGGAGATTCCATTAGGAATTACCTGTTTCTCCCAGAGTCTCGGAAACCTTTGGCAAAGGGATTCCTGTCTATTTTAAGGCGAGTAATCTGCAGAGTAGGAAAAGAAATCACGTCAAATCTTATGTAAGCATTGAAGAACGTTACTTAAAAACTAAAAGAACTGTAGAACTACAAACAACCCAAAAACTAACAGACAGAGGGTTCTGTTGTGCTCCTCTCCCATGTGTTTTTACTATCCTGACAGCAGAAGTTAAAAGAAGATTTCAGAAGTCATTTAGAACAACTGCTGTGAAAGAGATAAGTCTTCACTCTGTTTCCATCGAAGAACATGGAGAAAGGTTTATTTTGTTTTGAGTATTACTGAAGAGGGAACCTGAATGGCCCCCTGCTGCTCTGTCCTATTTGAGAATCCTCTCAAGCTGCTCAGCTTATTCCAGCTGGGGGTGGAGGCTCATCCAGCAGCCTGAGCTTGTTTCCCTTCTTCAGAACTGGGAGTCCCCACACTTCCTGACCTAACCACCGCAGCATTTTCTTTGTCTCTCCCTTAACTTTTGCTTTATTCTTTCATCTATGCAGTACTAACTGGTCACAAAACTATAATAAACATCTGACCAGAGGTAGCTACGACCTAAAGGTTTCTAACAGAACAAAATCACATTCAAGTATCAGAAATAAATGCTAATTTAAAAAGACTTGATTTCAAGTAGTTTCAAGTCATTGACTCAAAACTGGCTTCTTGTCCACTCAGATCTCAAAGTTTAGGAGAAAGGAACTAACATCTTCACCATCTCCACGAATTTTGACTCATGCCATCCTAACCTTGACAGTTTAAATAACACTCTTCTGTTTTTTATTGGATCTGTCCTTTGCGCAGAGAAATTCAGAGCCTACTCCTTGTATTTTGTTTTCTAAATTTCTCAGATTAATGAAATCTGTGAAGCTAATGAACATGTTTGTGACTGTATTAGCCTGTTAAGGACTGGATGGGCCAGACAGCATTATGGAAAAGGAAGGCCTCTTTGAAATCTCCCTCTTTGACCTGTGCATGCTCTCAGCCCAGTCAGTCCTGCAATACAAAAGATACATGAGTTCCATAAGATGTTGTCTTGGTATGTGGCAAAAACTACATCATAAAGGATGTTGCAAAAGTTTGCTGATTAATTTATCATATACGCCATGAATTTATCATATACGCCACTGAACAGAATTTTTCACTACAGACTATATTAAAACTCAACTCTCGGTTCATTTATATAGTTTTTAAAATTAGCATTAAATAATTTAAGTATTTCAGATGCTAGCTTTGAGTACAGATTTATAAATTTTGAACATGGATTTACATATTAGTTTTGAGTATAGATTTATGTGTTAGCACCTTTCTAAACAAAAACATAACTAATTTTTATGTCTTTATTATCATCGTCATTTTAATACTAATATTATCAGACTTATGCACCATAGGTTGTGTATGCCAAACATAGTTTTGTGCAAACTCCCCACTTGATTATCATAGCAACTTATATGCAGTTTTATGTTTTTTTTAAAGCAAGACTTTAAAAGTTACATTCAATGGCTCAGGAATCCAGATTACAGAAATCACATTGGTATTAACAAGAAGAGTTCTTATAAATTTCTTAAATTCTTAAAAATGACAGTTCTGAAAAATTAAAAACTAAATGTGGTAGTGTTATCCATTTCCATTATAATTTGTGGACTCCTGACTGGTTTGTCGGTATTTGCTAAGCAGTGCCCGGCACCACAGTGTGCCAAAAGTTCATTGCCTTGCCGTCCAGGTAGCACAGAGCACAAGAGGAGGTCAGCAGGCACAGATAGATCAGGAGAAAAGATGGACTGAGGTTTGCTAAAACATACAAAAAAGCCTCTGCCATTTTTCTCCTCATGCACTAATTTTTCCTAAGGAGAAGAAACATTTTCTGTCCCTAATTATTTTAATCATATTAAGTGTCTCTAGACCTTCATAAGGTTACTATCACCTTTCTTCCTAAAAGCCTATATATATATCAGAGTGACATGGGAACATGAAAGTCTGGGACCACTTTGGCTGGAAAACAGAAGTGTTGAGCATGAGTGTTGAATCTCTCCTAAAGAGGAGCAAACAGGAGGGACCCACAGTTCCTATGAGCCACGACACAGCAGACTAAAGAGCGATGTTGCCACTGGAGATGTGTGCAAAAGCTAAGCAACCTCACACAGTGTGTGCCTGGCCAATGAACAAAAGTAAAAATTAGCGACTGTGACACAGACCACATCAGCTGCCAGTACAGAGCCAGATCTTACAAAACTGGCTGAATTTGCCTCCAATTCGATTCTCCCTTTCTGTTGATTTCTCTGGCATTATTTTTTTTTGGGGGGGGGGTTTAAATTAAAATAGAATCACATCATTTCCTCTCTCCCTTTTTTCCTTCCAGCCCCCCTTCACAAGTTGATAACTTTTTTCTTTCAATATTGTTACATGTGCAGGTATAAAATGTATGAGCGTATGTATGTGTGTGTGCCCTTCTGAGTCCATTTTTTTGTTGTTGTTGTTTGTGAGCATATGGTTTCAGAACTGATCATTCTGTATTAGAAAATGAGAAAGAGGGCTTGACACTCACTCTCTTGACTCATGTAAAACAACCTTCAAGAAACACAACCATTTATTTGCCCATATGGTTTTTGACTTCTGAAGCTACATAAAGCAGTATAGAAGTATCACTTCAGAATTGCTGATCTCTCAGACTATAAGGCATAACTCTACCATGCATAACAGTGTGAATCACAGTTAAAAGAAAAAAATAAAGCCCTTTAAAGTGGATACAAAAGGAATGTACAGGATAAATCCTTCTGAAATATCTCTTAGAATTAATGGGCTGTAGTTTTAAAACCAAACCTCATGTTCTAAGAGCCAACTAGCTTTTCATGCTTTACATGACTATTTTCTAGGCAACCTACATGCTTTCTTATTTTAATTATGACAATATGATTCAATATCTCAGGATGGAAAGTAAAACTACACTGCCAGTTGCAAGATAGGCGTTCAGCTGACGTCATCACTACAGGAGCCCTGCTTGGGAATCTGTGGACTGGGAGTTGTCAGGGTGTGCACACACCCATACGGCAGGTGTCAGGTATAGCAAAAGTTTTAGGGTGCATTCTGGCATTTGAATACAATGGTAAGGAAAGCTGACTTTCTCTTCACACCAGAGGAGTCTAGCAAAAGGGCCATTGAAAACAATACCTGCTGATTCTGATAGGCAGTGACAGTCGTGAAAACGGTTTCTGGGAAGGAGAATGCCTTCACTCCCTCTCCTGAAGGAACAGGCTTGATAGGGGACAGATCGTCCCCACAGTCCTTACGAATGACGTGCACGCGCGGTTGGTATTTGTGCATAGAATGAAGAATAATCTAGATCAAGGGAAGAAAGCCACATTAAACAGGAATCACCTTGCAATTTGACAGCCTGAACAAATAGGTGATGTGGAAAATAAACTCTTGCAGAGTTACATTTCTGAAGATGAAGGAAGTTAATTTAACAAAATACAGCAAAGCTGCATGGAAGAAATGGGATGCCAACCGTAACACTTACATGAAAATACAAAGCACTTTAATTAAACCCTCCATACAGCCACACGAAGTCAAGATCAAATCACTATTGCTTAAAATACAATAATACATTCATAAAGATTTTGTCTATAATGAGCTGAATAAAACCAGGGTCAACACCGACTACGCTAAAACTGAGATTGAAATCACCATTTACATTGCAGCAAATCCATCCCCTAAAAGATACACACGAGATTTTGAACTCCAAGGGGTGTTTTCTTTGGTCGGTAATTGTGTACACCCACCAAGAACACCTTGTTGTCTCCTCTATTTGTTCTGCACGATCTCTGGTTTATCAGATTATCAGTCACTAATGCTGTTTAGACAAATTTCAGTCATGTAATCAAATGCTTGTTTTTAATCTCAAAATGATAACAGTCTACCTAATTGTCTATATATATTTTTTGGCTTATTAAAACAGAGTACAGTGGGCTCATACAGAGATATGAACAGTGATCACCTCTGATGATGAGAACACAGGTAGGTAGGGGTGTGTGTTTGTGTGTGTGTGTGTGTGTATGTGTATTCGCATGCACACACACATATTTGACTTTTTATGTGGTAATATTTTTATGAACAGCAGGGGTTTTTTGGTTTTTTTTTTTTTTTTTTTTTACTGGTTTCTTGGATTCTGTATTCATAAGTGACTTTACCTAAAGAGTGTGTATCTTTTCTAAACTCTAACCCTTAAATTCAAGGTTTTGGTTATTATGAATCTAGAAGGAAAATACCTAAGTGGAAGTCATGGGAAGCATGGTGCTTGATGTGCTTCCTGCAGACTCAGACAGTTTAAGAAGCCAACCAGAGCCTTTGGTCAGCTCAAACACAAACAGCCCTGTACTCAGAGAATGTGTCTGCTGTCCTAAGACCACGCCTTTACTCTTGGGACAGCCAACACTCCAGTCAGGGGGCCTGTTTTTGTTTTGTTTTGTTTTGTTTTTTTCCCCTGAGGTTTTCTTTGTGTCAATGAAAGAAACACTTGGGAAGTAGATCTAAAGATCTTGTCAACCAGATGTGCCTCTGAGGGAGACGGCATGAATACAAGAAAATGCAAAAGGGGCAGCCAGCAGTCCTCATCATCACCTGGGGGAACACAGACAGCAATCAGCTGCTTCTTTCTAGAACTAAGAAAAGGACAGAATGTGAATGAACTGTAGGTGTCTTTGACCAGAAAACTTTTAAATAAACACAATTACAAAGTACAGCAGTAAACCATGTGCTGCCTGTACCAAAGATATGTACTATTTTTTAAACAGTTTTTGTTGGCTTTGAGTAGATGTGTAAACTCCCAACATGTGAAAGGTATGCCTTGCTGTAAATCAGGATAAAAGAACACAGAAATGAAATTTTATTTGAAGAGTCTAACCATTAGCATAGTTGTGTGTGTGTGTGTGTGTGTGTGTGTGTGTGTGTGTGTGTGTGTATTTCAAGACAAGGTTTTTCTCTGTGTGGCTCTGGCTGGCCTGGAACTCACTCTGTAGACCAGAGATCTGCCTGCTTTTGCCTCCCATGTGCTGGGATTTAAGGCCTGTGCCACCACTGCCAAGCCAATAACCATTTTCAGTGGCTGAGGAATGTCTTTTGCTCATTCCCTTATTGCTAGATTATGTCCGCTAGTTCTAGTTTTAAAAGATGAAATCTAAGCTTCTATCTATCCTTGGTGAAGTTTATATCCTTGCAGAGCTTTTGTTGTTGTTGGTTGGTTGGTTGATTTTATTTTCTGAGCTATTCTGGGGGAGAAGAGCAGCTGAGGTAGAAGCTGAGCTTTATTCTCTATAGGAACATGCTTGTTTAAGATTTAGGGTTCTGCATGACATTTCTAAACCTCGGTGGATTTTTTTTTTTAATGGTAGGTTCTACAAAACTTAGAGACATTTGAGTCCTCAGAGCTCCCTAGGCCCAGGGCTGGTTTCCCTTCTTGTCTACATGCCTTCCTTATGAATTTACACTAAGAGGACAGGCACAGTCCCTGGGCCAGGCCCAGTACAGGAAACACAAGAATGTTTTTGAGCCTGAGGATGCAGTTAATTAAGCCCCAGCCTGTTTCTGTTTCCACCTGCAAACCTGCCCTAGTCTTTTCCCCATGATTTATTATTGCAATAGCACACTCTTTCAATGTTAACGTAGAATAGAAAATGGTCACTTTTATTGTAATAACTTTAATGTCAACTCAACTTTTCTCTCCTTTATTTAACTAACTTTCTCTTTAGAAAACTGTCCTGCAATAGGTATCTTCCAGCATTGAAAGCTTGAAGAAAAACTCTTCCTCTTCTCCAGGCTAAGAATCAAAATGTCTGGAACTGGAGAGACGGCTTGATGGTTAAGGGCATTGGTTGCTCTTCCAGAGGACCGGCCTTCAATTCCCAGCACACACATGGAGGCTCACAACTGTCTATAACTCCAGTTTTAGGGGATCTGACACCTTCACACAGATGTACATGTAGGCAAAATACCAATGCACATGAAGTAAATACATTTAAGTTTTTAAAAATAATCAAAATGTCAACAGCACACAAATGGTGGCATCTATAAATTCCAAGAGAAAATTACCATCTCTTTAAAAGTGATTTCCAGATAGAAAAAAAAAAAAAAAAAGACAAGAAATTCCACATAAATAAGCAAAGAAGTGCACAGCCAATTTCAGAGTATTGCAATGAAGTACTTGGAGTGAAGGTAGCAAAAATTTCTTTTCTGTTTACAGTCCTGTTTTATGAAGACTCTGTTCTCTCAAGGACATTTCTCCATTCAGGTTTATTGATATTAAGCTTATTTGTTTGTATGCTTACCATATTTTAAAAAGTGAATTTGGGTGGAATGTACTAGAACAGGGTGCAAAAAAAAAAAAGACTAATAAATGCCTATGTTTGTCCAGTATGTGTTTGATAAAATAACGCATTTTAAATGTCTATAGAAACATAGCGTATCTCTGGAATTTTGAGAGAATGCTAAGCAAGGTCAGTTCTTCTTTACAATAGCATCGTTACTTGCTTCTTAGTGAACTATGAACTCTAGAGCTGGCAAGATGGCTCAGCAAGGAGGGTGCTCGCTGCCAAGTCTGACCACCCGAGAGCCACAGGGGGGAAAGAGAGAGTTGACTTTTGCTAAGTGGACTCGGAAATCTAGACGTGTGCAATGGCATTCAGGGGCCCACAACCTCCCATGCCCACTAAACAAATAAACATAAGAAACTGTCCCATTTGTAATACTAGTATGCCCACAACATTTCCCCTACTTAGTAGGGCATGTGGCACCACTGGCCTTTTTTTAAAAAAAAAGAGAGACTGTAATTATAACTCAAAATAATCACGCCTTATATGTACTTTCTATACTCTCTGTTCTGTTTAGACAGGATCTGGGCAGGGGACTAACCATAATATTAGTAACGGCATACAGACCTATGTCCACAAACACAGAGTTCTCTTATTTGTAGTCTTATACATGCTATTTTACTTTAAAGACTAGACTGGAGGGATTGAGGATGTGGCTCAGCAGTAAAGCACTTCCCCTGGGCTTAAGCTCTAACACTGCTAATTAATTAATTAGTTAATTAATTAATTAGAAGATAGATTTGCATCAAAAGAAGCACACATATTTAGCTGAAAAGCTGAGCGTGTTTGAAATCTAGCAGATGGGGCTTCTAGTTTTACAACTTGATAGTAGAACTTGTCGATAACTGAAAACTTATTCTAAGGGACAAACTCTCAAGACTGTATTAGGTCAAGCAAAGGACTTAAAAGGACCAAATAGCAATGCCCGCCCCACGGCTGCTTTCTGCATGCGTTGTAACATTACCCTCACTTTAAATAGTGTTGAAACTTTATCAGTCGGTCACAGGCAAAGTAGGATTTGTTTCCCCTTGTGTGATACTGTGCTTCAGGTCCTCCTTAATTACACACTTTCAAGTTTGCCAGCTTCCTTGGGACTCTAATTCCAATACAATGAGGAAACAAGTCCTGGGTGAGTGGAACGGAGTTGTCAGGGATCATAGCTGTGGCGTCCTTCTCAGCCACTTCAACTTCCTTCCTCATGCAAGAGCTCAGCTGCCTCTCCTGCGCCATCTTGCTTCCCCATCTGATTTTTCAAGGAGGAGAAGTAGGAGTGCAGGCATATGTGTCACAAAATTGTCAGGAGTGGAGCCGCACAAGCCCACAAGCCCCTGACTATGGCTACCTGACAGGGCCCATTTCCAAAGCGTCCCCGGTGTTAAGGGTATGAAGCTTCTGCAGTTCAAGGTGTGCCATCAAGTGTCTTCTCTCTTTCAGAGAGATGCTCATGGAAATACTTTGCCGCAGAGGGCAGATTCCAGGAAAACAAGGAAACTTGGACGGGGTGAGAAACCGTTACCCAAGCACATGACCTCCTGCACGGGGGCAGCTCAGCAACCAGCCTTGGTTTGTACCAGAGCTAGCATAAGGCTGCCTAGAATCCCCAAGGATCAAACAGGACCTTCAAAGTTATCACAGCATTCAGGGATTAGTTGTGGCTCCGAGGGACACTGCTACTCTAAATCTTTCTTAGTTTTCTTTTCTGAACCGAGTCTAGTATTTGGGAAGCTAGTATTTGAGAAGTCACTTTGGGGAAAACGGATCATCTCGTGTGGTCACAAGTCTAGTCACAACCCACAGGACTTGGATTCCTGTGATCCCCTCATACAAAGTTGGTAAGGCTCCCGGGCCACAGAGCTTTCACAGCACAAAGCCGTGTGTGTGAACATCTTCAGCACAGTAAAATGCTGGAAGGGGGCTGATCGAAACATAGGAAAGGAATTTAGGAGATTAAACTCTGGTGTGTACAGTTTAATTAGTCAGAGGTGACAACGACTTCTTTTAGAATTGGTGGAATGCTGGAAAGCAAAAGGCCCTGAGGATCTCTGCTGAAGCCCCACCATGACAGCACTGCCTTCTTCGAGTCACAAAGTTCAAGCATATTCCCAGTTCCAAGTCTGGGCCCATCACATAGAGTGCACACAGCAGAGAATTTCCAGTACACCCAGACCTCTGGGAACAGACAGGGCAGCAATGTGCAGTCTCCCTTCTCACCCCATGGAGGCAAGAAACTCACAGAGCCAGTCTCTGCCCTCAGTGCCCTTGATCACATTTAGCAGTCTTAAAGAAGACGTTTTTCTAAATGAGTAATGTGAAAAAGCACGTCTTCCTGCCCTCTCCTCGTCAGTCAACTGGACACAAGCACTGCCACTAGAAAAGCCGTGCCCTCTCGATTTCACACAGTTCCCTCCTGCTCCCCACGCAAACCCTTTATATCCCCTGATTAAACAGTAACCCGTCACAACCTTACAAGAACATTTTCACCACTAGACAGAACTCTTCCTTAATTTTTTTTTTTGTGCTTTACTGCATTTATAAATTTTTCCAGTGGTGAGATTCTTTATTTAGTTCCACGTAGATTATCTTCAAGTTGGATCTTTTATGTTTTAAGCAAATATTGTGTGATTGTTAATTTTATCTGTTAACTTGGCTAGGACACAATAGCCACATTTTTGGCCAAATAGCAACAAAAAAATATTGCTGTGAAAGTATGGCTCAGAGATAAATACTTAATTAATAGACTCTGTGAAAGCAGACTAGTCTCTGTAGCAGTGAGTAGCAATCATCCAATCAGTTGAAGGTCCTAACAGAAAACAATGTAATGTCCCGGGAAGAAGAGAAAATTCTGATAACAAATTTCTTCAAATTCAAGTCATAATGTCAACTCCTCCTTGGTCTCCAAAAGATGGAGCTGACCAACTCCTCCCACAATCATATGAACCAGTATTCATAATTATTCTGTCTCTCTTTCCTGTCTCTACTCCTCTGTCTCTCTTTCCTCTCCCCTACTTGTTTTTTCTTCTCTGACTCCACTCTCTCTCACATACACATATATAACTATTTTCTCTATATGTATGTATTATACATAACATATATATATATATATATATATATTATATTTTCTGGGGAATGTTCTTTTAGATAAAAGCTGTTAAAATTAAAAATCTAAAATCATAGATTATTAAACCTACATATAAAATTTGTTATGGTACATACTATATATAAAGCCAGTAATTGGAACTAAAAGAATTAGAACTGTAAAGATTATTATAGGGATATGAATTCTATACCAGTATATGGCTTATGGCACAATTATCTGTTTAAAAATGTATTCTTAAACTGTAGAATTCAGAAAGTGCTGTACTTTAGGTTTTGAAAGAAAGCAACACCAAATGGCATTTAGTCTAAATTTCCTACTTAAAGGCAAAACCAAACCAAACCAAACAAAAACAAAAAAACCTAGGAGCTCCTCAAATGGATGTGCCAACAATTCAGTCAGACAGAGAAAACATATCTTTTCAGCACTGCAATCAAGTGAACAATAGTTGTTACAATTTGATTGCAAAACTGTAAAAATAAGGAGAAGGAAATGAAGTCATTTACACATCTACTAAAATACGTGAAGACACAAAATATCGTCTTTCTCTGATTCGGTTTTAAATCAGAAAGGTGACTACAGAAGCCCTATCGGGTGAAATCTTATTAGCTGTGCTTTAAAATGTAGACCCAGAATTTGCCAAGGCAGGGTAATATCCTGAGGTTCTCATCAGGGTGGAGTGATTAAGATCCTGTCTAATCACTAAACACCTGCACATCTCAGCACAAGCACTTTATTAAGGTAGAGCCTGTAGTTTTATTTTGAGTGGCTTGTTTACAAATGACTGTGTATCTTCTTTGGGAAATAAGGAAGCTGATATTTCCTTCCTCTACAATGTATTCTTCGAATGACAATTTCAAGTCTTCTTAATCAAAACTGTAACAACAGACACCTAACGGAATTAGAATCTGGTACTGTTAACTGAACAGAAATCAGCATTGCCCAGAGTTAATGAGTTATTGAAATTATAATGTAGAGCCCTGCCTAAAGTCAGCAAACTGTTAACAATGACTGTCTTTTTGGAATGGCTAGACTTGACCCACATATCGGGTTTCAGCAGTTTTAAGAGTAGAGGGAATTATAACATGCTTCGACACATTAGATGCCATTACAAAACAATTGGGAACCTGCAGATGGAAAACACAATTAGAGTAAGCCTGGGTCATTACTGCAGTGAGCCTCAGCTGGGAAAAGAACTGGATGCACGGAAGAGGACACAATAAATCATCCCTGTTACCAAACTTCCAAGTTCAAGTCTAATGATTAGCACCTCATGGGATTTCACATAAATGTTTTGGTTAAAGAAATAAAAGTCTCTGTCTTGGGTCCTTTCATTCCAATACAAAACCAGTGTCTGGCTTAAACTTTTTTGTTTCATGGGACACGTCAGCTACAGGCATGATCTCTGCTACAAATACAGCCCTGATTTGGCGCATACTGTTCACATACTGAGCAAACAGAAAAGAGTGACGCAGACCGCAGACCTAGCAGTTTCTAGGCAGGCACTGGGCTCTGCCTGGTGGCCCGTGCCAGAGAGGCTGTCACTTACATGGCCTTGGTCGTCCAGTTCATTGTTGGTAAGCTTCAGCTTGTCGAAGCTGATCACTTGTCTCATCCAAGTCTCCCCAGAGGCAGGTGAGTCCGGATGAATATACACTCGGGGTGGCACCGGGGAATCAGCATTACCTGCCACCATCCATTTAGAGCTGTGATACACATACCTACAAGGCAAAGGCGAGACTCACAATATGGACGGCCCATTTCTTGGGATTACTAGCTTAGACCAAGGGTACACCCTCTTCTAAAACTCCAAAATGAACTCATTTCTCCACCCACTCAAAAGAAACCTTTAAATAGACTTTCGAGCTTGTCCTGTGAGGCCTTGTGTAACTCAGAGTTAACGTCATATTGATGGCTTAGTGAAAATATACAGGCTGTCTCCTCCCCCAAAACGCCAAGGGTTGTGATGCTAATGCATTACACTAACAACAGGCATAATTTATATTCTGATATTTTTCATCTGAGTATTTAATCGATACAAACACACTATGAAGTTGTCAATCTCACCTCTCAGTAAACCTCAAAAATAATTCAGTGTCTTATTCTAAAGGTTTCTACTTCCTGAAAGATCACCTCTCTTTTCAGGCTCAGTACAGCCTGGTGGAATAAAAAAACAAGGGAAGTGAAAGAAAACTGCCACTTTTTTTTTTGGGAGAAAAAGCTTATCTTTTTAACATTTAGGATTGTTTCTCCCAATTCTTTAACATTGTAAGTAGAGGGTAAAATAATTCAGGCTAACTTAAGTTTTTGAGGAATCAAAAAATGTAGGCTATCATTAACCTTCCATGCTTTTCTTTATTGACTGTTGTAAGGAAATCACTTCAAACCGTTGGCAAATACTAATTTCCAACTACCGATACTCAGCATACAAAGCATATTTGTATAGCGCAGCCAATTAACGATACTTTCACAGTTAAGAGACACAATAGCCTGGTCTTCATTTTTTTTTAAATTACACGAGTAATTACACTCAGTGAGAAAAACATTTAAATAATTAAATTTCCAGGAATAAACAAAAATCTCAAAACTTAGCTGCGTATTCAGATTACTCTCTGTCAGTGTGAATGTAAACACTAGCAAACAGCATGTTGATGAAAAGAGGTTATGTAGTTAGAAGAATTGTCTCTTGCTCATGTGTTAAGATTCTGCACACAATTTATAGTGACAGTGTTCAGGTAGTGTCCGAAATACCTGTGCAGTAAACACACATCTTTTTAAAGCAGCACAAAACATTTTCATAAATCAATCTTTGGTGAACTTTGGCTCAGCTCTGGTTACACATTTCAGTGAGCTCAGTTTTGACCTCAGGATCCCTTGTAGATTTTAATTCCTTTCCTTGAAGCAACGTATTTAAGCAGAGCATTTAAATTAATTTTTAAAACTTTCCTTTAATTGGCATGCTATGCTTTAATAAATAAATTCCTATGAGCTTTTGTGACTATTAATTTTTCATGATGTTTTTAACTTGGACCGAATACCATTCCTTGACAGAAAAATAAGTCAAAAATAATTTCTGATACTGATGAAAAAGTTGAGAAATAGAATGGAAACTTCAGAGATTCATGAAAAAGAAAACTGTACTTCAGATAAGACTTGGGTTACTACCAAAATAAATAAAAATATTCTATCAAAACCTTGAAAAATTATGTGTATTAAATAGTTCAAAATCCAACAGGCTGTAAGAAAATAAATTGTATGTATGTATAAACATTCCCCATAAAGAATTCTAAATACCAAAGCTAAACATTTCTTAGAAAGCAATATAAGAAAGCAAATTTGTGTGTTTACAGTTTGATCTATTATTACATATATAAATTTTCATTGCTTTTGTGAGAGTATATATAAATCATGTAAAAGAAAAAAATCTAAAGTATATGGAGAAAAACTGGAGGAGAAACAGGATAGAAACTTGAAAAAGAAAAGAGTAAGAAATTCATTAAGATTTACACTATCTTCCTCAATACAAAACTCAAATTAGAATACGGGCTTTAAGTCATGTATATTTTTTGAATAAACTTAATGTCTTCTGCTGTATGCTAGTTAGTAGGTAAAGGTAGCAAAACTCCTAATGACTTAAGTAATTAGAGTACATAATACAACTTAAATAGAAAATACAACTAAAATTATTATATTTAGCATTTTTAATATATCATAAGCTCATGTACAAATTGAAATACTGATATTATTGACAATCAAAAACTTGTTTTACCAAAACAAGCACCCAATTTTTTTAAAAGTGGTAGAAACCAAATGATTTCAATTAGACATATCTTAAATGACAAAGAAAATTTTCAGAGATCCCTCTTCTGATCTCCCAAGCTCTCAAACTTCCTTTTAAACAGATTAGCATTTTAAACTCCAGGTTAACAAAAGGCGTTGTCATTGAAAATCACTTATTCTATTTGTTGCATAAATAAAAGCAAAGACAGTTTGAAAATAAAGAACATATATCTTTTCAGAGTTTACTTGGTGCCTAGGCAAAAGTATTCTGTTTCAAAGTCCAAATATTAGAAAAATAGAAATTTTTAAAGAATGTGTCCATTACCAACCTAAAAAAAACAAGCCAGGGATAGCAATTCATTATAAGTTTAGAGATGATTTAATGACACAATGAATTATGAGATTTTTTTTCTTTTTCTAACTTGTAAGCATCTTTTTCAAATGAAAGTCTAAAACATACATGATTTTTTAATATGCCAAGAAAAATTAACGTTAAGATAAAAAATAGGAAAAATATAGCATTACCTGTAACATGTAACTGCAAACTTTGCATTAAAAATTTTCCTCAAAATTCTAACTGAAAAGTTAACATTGACGATACATTTCACATGACAGTGCCAGGCTATCCCCTGCTCAAAGTCTGGATGACTGAAGACATCTCTTTATCTACCAAAAGCTAACCAAACGCTGAGTTTCCACATTTGCTAGGGGACAAGACACCAACTGAGCTGGTATAACCCATGGGTGTTAGAGCATGAATCTGCAAGTTCTACAGACTTTGGGAAACAGATCGTAGTGGCCTGGGTGAGCCTGGCACTAGCTGGCAGAGTCCTGGTGTTGCAATCACTCTGATACTGGCTGTCGTCCTACCTGTATCTTTTGTTGTCCACTGGCACAATATCCATGGCAATGTAATACTGCTGGTGCGGATCTAATCCGGAGATCTTCACTCTCATTGCTGGAAACATGCGCCTGTTTGTAATGGAAGGGAGGAAGAAGAAATAGGGCTTGAGTTTTGCTTTGCTCGTGATTAAGGAAAAAGACAGAATAAAGCCAAGAAAAGTCTGCAATCTCCATTTTTAATATAAACAAATTAATAGCATTCACTTTGCTAACATAGCTTTGGGTGTCAGAACATAGGATATATCCAAACTGTAGCTTTGAAAATGTGACTTGTTGCACTGTGCCCACATTTTCCGTGTTTACAGAAACATCAGTATAACCTAAATGTGAAAGGATATTTTTTTTTTACACAAAAGAAACTGCTCTTGAAACAAAATCAGCAAGCGTATTTACCTTACTACAAATAATGAAATACATCAAATGATGGAAACTTCAAATTGCTGAAAGTGATAAAATATATTATAATGTGAAATTTTAAAGGAGGTTATAAAAAACCCACAAGGAGCCAATGTGCCATGCTATAACCAAACAATATGTTCTTTATTGAGACAGGACTTCCTGTCTGCAGCCTGGTAAGGTAAAGTGCAAAAAGGCGCTCCAAATTTGAAAGGTATAGTAAAACTTCTTTATTGGAAGCAGAAACTAAACACAACGTATATTTATGAATTTCCTTCCCCCACCGAAACAAAAAAAAAAGTTTTCTTTTCTAACCACAATTATGGCTAATTAAAGCAAACGAAAATTCCATTTTCTCTTGACTTCCCAGATATGTGTATAGAAGGAGATGCTGAAGTCAAGTCGCATAATCCCTTTAAGGAGAGCACTGAAGCAGAGCACACAGCAAAACAACATAAGTTTCTCCCTTAAAAAAAGAAATAATAATAATAAAAAAACAACTTTCTTCTAATGATTTATGTCTAGGACCTTCCAAATAATCTCATTTTTGTTAATTTAACCTTATAGCACAAATTTATTTACCAATTTTTCTACGACAGTGCCATTAAAGACCCACTGCCAGGAAAAGTCCATAAGAATTAACTAAGCAGTTTAATATGCTGCCTGCTTTAGTGATCTTTCAGTGCACCTGTAAGATAAAGAGCAAAAGTCTTGAACTACATCCTTTATAAGACAACTGTTGCTTTGTGTTGTTGAAGACCGCATTTGGACGATTAATAAAAACTCCCCGAGAATGCAGAAGGTACCATATGGATTCAATAAAATATGTTTTTGTAATTTCTAATAAGTTTGGATACTTTTATGCTACCCAGGTTTTTACCATGTGTACTCCCTGAAAGAGTTGTGTGTGCTCTTTAAAGGACCCTTAAAAGGATCATATTATTCTTAGATTTCATTACACTAAATGAGCTGAAAACTTGAAAGTGCAAATTTCTCTCACCGGCCTCAAATTAAAATGATGTGGCCAACGAATCCATTTATTTGACTAAGGAACGATGCACAAATTACATAGTTAAAAAAAAAAAAAAAACTTCTTTCCAAACGGTTTTTGTACTCAGTGAATGTAAGGTAGTGGGGTGGATTTCGTGTGTGTGTGTGTGTGTGTGTGTGTGTGTGTGTGTGTGTGTGTGGTTTAAAAACCAGGGTAATGATTCTTATAGCAGTACATGATTAAGTATGATAGTAGTGATTTTTCATAGTAGCCTTATATCAGAGTTGCACAGTACACCACGGGCTTATGGTGCCAGGACCGACCTGGAAGTTTTGAATTTTAGAAAACTACATCAGAGCGTGCTAAAAACAAAATACAATTAAAATTAAAAATAATTAAGGCGGGAGGGATCGATGTATTACCTCGCTCAGGACTGATTAACTACAGCCTAAATAGGTGCATAGACCGAAATACACAAGACCTTCTCCCTGTAACTCTCGCGCTCTCCCTTACTCAAAGCTACAGCTAAGGCTGTATGTAGCATCCCTATTGACAACGATCTGTCTGACTTTTAACGCGACTGGGCCCGTGCCGCGCTCTTCATCGACGGCGCTTTCGGAAAGAAAGCGGTGAAGGTTTATAGAGGGAGCTACTACCGTCCCGGACCCGGTTGGGTGGGTTACAGCTGAAGCGGGAATGGGGTAGGGTGAGGCCAGGGTCCAAGGAGCACTCGGCGAGCGACGGCTTACCTGCCGGCTTTGGTGATGATCATCTCCGTGCCTATTTCGTGAAAGCGCTTCCAGAGCTCCGCTCCTTGCAGATCCACCCTCGGGGCCTGCGGCGCGGGCAGCGGGGTCCCGGGGCCGGCCAGGCCAGGGACCGGAGACCCCTTCGGGGATCCTCGAGGGGACGCCATCGGGGAGGCGCCCTGGGGGAAGCCGTCCTCACAGCTGCCTGGACAGCAGAGGGGAGAGACGGGGAGTCCGTGAGGGAGAGAGCCGGCCTTGGGGGACCACGGCAGGGCCGGGCCCTGGGACGCTCGGGGCTGCCTTGAGGCCTTGTGGGGTCCCACTGCGTCCCCATCTCCGAAAGCCAGAGCCGCGTTGTCCCTTCGCGCCCGGCCCGTGGCTGGTCCCCCGGCTCGCGCTCCGGAGTCCGAGCGCAAAGTCCCCGGGGGCGCTGATCCCGTCCCAGCCGCCGGGGTCTGCTCAGGTCATCCTTTCCTTCCCTCCGCCCCAGGCAGCCGGCTCGTCCCTCTCCGGGCCTGGCATCTCCTGGAAACCCTTCAAGACCCCGCTCCTGCCAGCCTTTCCCCTTCCGCCGGCTCTCCAGGCCGCGCGCGGGACGCGGCAGCTGCAAGAGGCCAGAGAGTCCGCCCTCGGGCGGCGCGGGGCCCAGGCGGAGAAGCGCGGGGCATCCCGGGGAAAAGAAGGGCGAGCGAGCCCGCCGCAGCCTCCCCGGGGAGCGTCTCCGGCCTCGGGGGCGCCCGAGGAGAAAAGCAGCAGCACCCCGGGGCTGCGAGCATCCCCATCCTCCCCATCCATCCTCCCTCAGACCCCCATCCCCCCCCACCCCCCGGGGAGGACGGGGAGAAGGGCCGACTCACCCGCCGCCCCGCGGGAGGCGCAGCTCCGCTCCGCGTCCGCGCAGTTTCCGGACGCCGCCCCGGCTGACGGCGGGGGAGCCGGGGGAGCCGGGGGAGCCGCGTCCTCGTCCGCCTCGGAGCTGCCCCGCTCGGCCGCGCTGCAGCCGGCGTCGTCCGCCGCCCCGGGCGCCTCTCCGGCGGCCAGCTTCCTGCGCTTCCTCTGGAGCTGCTGCTGCTTCTCGGCGCCGATGAGCGCCTCCACGGAGAAGGCGTGCGCCCGGAGGCTCAGCATGCTGCACGGCGAGCCCCTCCGCTTCTCCGCCATCCCCGCCGCCGCCCCGCGCCCGCCCGCCCCTCTCTCATATACCCGCGGCTGGGGCGCACGCACGCGCTCGCCCTCCCGGCCCCCCACGCCTCCCGAGATCTGCCCCCTTCCCCGCTGCGGGCAAAAGCAAATTTGCCGTTTCCTCTCTTCTCTCTCTCTCTCTCCCCCTCCCCCTCTCCCCCCCCCCCCCCCCCCCCCCCCCCCCCCCCGCCCCTCTCTGGATTGGGATCCGAGGGAGCAGGAGCGCGGGCCGCCAAGTTTCCTTCCCTGCCTGGAGCCCAAGGATGCACTTCTCTGCTCCCAACCCCTCCACCTCGTCCTCCTGCTGCTGCAAGATCTGCCTCGACTGATGGGCCGGAGAGGACTAACGCGGGTACAAAAAAAAAAAAAAAAAAGAAAAAAAGAAAAAACACTCCGCGGACACAAATTAGGGATTGTAATTGAAATTTGTTGCCTTGATCTGTCAGCACTTCCAGGCAGGAGAGCGGTGGGAAGAACTTGCTCATTAGTGTCAATAAAGCCGAGGGGAGGGGCGGAGCCTAGCGAGCTGTCCATCACCAGGGCGGCGCACCAATCGGAAGGCTCGGAGTCCGCGCAGCCCGCGCCCACTTCCTTACAAGGCCGGGAAACCTGGGTCGGGAAAGCGCCGCCAGCTGGTGCGTCTGTGCCAGCCTCTTTCGCTGACACCCACCACCCCGGTCCAGACCCCGGCTCCCAGGCTTTTCTCATCTGGACCAGGAGAGGCTGAGCCTCCGGGTTTAACCGAGAAAAGAGCACCACCGTTAGCATTTACCCACGGCCTCTCAGGGAACCTTAAATCTCCTGTTCCACATCCCCATCGCTGGGGCTACCAAGTACAACATTTGGAGTGGGCAGGAGCTCAAGAGCAACACGTCTGTCCTTTCTCATCTCAATAATCCTGGGTTTCCTAAGGCTCATCTCCGCGGAGCATAACCATGGGCTTAACCCTGCTCCGTAGGTTTTTCTTAGGTGAGATGAGTTTAAGCATATTTGATTTTTTTTAAATTATATTAGCGTTCAGTCCTTTGTATAAATTAGCCAAGAAAAACCGCCCCCTTTTATTTCGTAGTAATTATTTTAAAACGTAGGTTGTGGATTTTAATTCCGTATGTTTTTAATGATATGAGCTGGACTATAAAATGCCTTTTAACTTGACAAAGTAAAACGTGACACACGTGTAGGTTTTTGTTGTTGTAAATATCTGTAAGTTAAAGTAGCTTCATATTTATTTTGGGTTTTTAAGAATCGACGCGTTCCTTTAAAATAAATTCTAGATAGCAGAACCTTAAAATTGAACGATCACAAACAGGTAAATGCCATTCTGTCGTTTAAACTCCACATTTTCTTAGTATTAACAGGCTATGATTTTGATGTGAACTTAAAAAAATCTTTTGTAGCATAAAATTCACTATGTACACAAATCTTTCGTATAAAATATTCTGCAAACGATTAGTTTGTTTCATTTTGCTTTTCCTCCCTTGCTCGGTGTTCCTTTGAATACTGCAAACCTCGACTTTCTCTGACTTTAACCTTCAGGAGAGGGGCTTCTTAGAGCAGAGTCAGCGCTGGAACCATTGTTATTATTATTACTATTATTATTATCATAGATGGAGGAACCCGCAGTTCCTTCAGGGCTTTACTGCTGGGAAGAGATGGAACCTAGAGGCGCGTTGCTTGCCCTGGGAAAGCCGGGCAACAGGATTTAGTAATATCCTTGTTGAGGATGCAGATTTTAAAGGCCTAGAAAAACGCGTTCAATTGGAAGGCATTGTTTTATTTTGGGGAGATGGGAGTCTGCGTCCTTGGTTTGGAGCTGTCCGGATGCCCAGCAGCAGCGTGCAGAACGATACTGCGTCCTAAAGAAGCAAGTTCAAACCCCGTTTGTGATGAAAGCGGGGAGCCCACAGAGCTCGGAGAGCCGGTGCTGGAGTGGAATTAAGATGTCAATGGAATTTACACCGGCAGCCCCCGGCCGAGAGTAAAGCTCCCGCGGCGCGACTGTAGCCACGTTCAGTGGCCCGGTAGGCTAGAGCCCCAGCCCCAGGCCCTGGCCCTCACAGACAGCTCTCCAAACCAGATTGCACCCTAGGAGACTGATGAATTCTGTGGTCCAGGGGTGGAGTCACTAAAGGTTTCTGGCCTACTCGACTCGGCGGCGGGAGGAGGCGGAGCGGCTAGTTCCGAGAAACCGCCGGGAATCCCAGACCGGAAGCCTGGAAACTTTGTCGCTCTGATCTTGTTCCTTTAGATGCCGAACAGTTCAAACTGGTTTGGGGTATTTAAACAGGCCTGCAAGGGTACCCTGAGGATCACAGGGCCCCAAGCCCTTCTGTGTCTCTCTGCCTCTTCTTCAGCCTTTACCCCTGGCAGATGGAGGCGCAGAACACCACATTTGGACTTGGGTTCATATAACTAGTACACAGGGAAGCCACAACATTGCAAACTAACAACAAGAATCAAAGTAGCGCCTCTGCGTACAAGAGTGCGCGGAGCTCTCGGGGAAGAACGAGGGCGCTAGCTCCCTTAGTCCTGGTCCAGGATGGCTTTGAGGATCACAGCTAAAGGACAGTACTTGCGTCCCCGACTGCTGGAATCAGGCTCCAGCTCCAGGGCCGAGGACCAGCTGGTTCCCCACTGGTTTACAGACTGTAGATAGAGTGTGACCTGTGTTCCCCGGAAGCCGTCAGAAAACCCCATCCCGGGCTGGAGAGGGAAACAGTACCCTAGTGGGCTGAGAAGTCAAGGAAAGGGGTTTCAGGGAAGTATCCCAAGGCCTTTGCCCAATGAGCCCCGCAAGTGTGTGTGCTCAGACAGGGTCAAATCCTGCTGTTCGGGCCAACTCCTGCTGTTCCAATCAAGAGAGTGAAGAAAATGCACAGCCGCTCGGCTTGACGCACAGGGGAACCCGGGATCTCCTTCGCAAGGCCCGGTCTTTGCGCTTCCCTGCTTGTGACCTCCCACAGACGCATGGGTGTGCGCCTGAGCACGCGTAAACGTGGGAGAGGTCTAGGTACCTGGGAGTGTGTGCTTTCACCTCGCGGTGAGAAAATGTCTCTTCCCATTGTATCACCTACATTAAAGAAGGATCAGAACCGAAACAGTGTGCAGTCGGGCCTCTCCCAGCACCAGACTATTTTAAATAAAAACCCCTCCGAGGATGGAATCAGCCTGAGAGGAGCTAAAGGGGAGGCAGAGAATCCTGGATGTCCAGAATTTTTTTTTTTTTTTGGAGGGGGGCAATGATGTATGCCGGAATTAGGGTCCCAGGACAGCCACAGTGTGTGTGTGTGTGTGTGTGTGTGTGTGTGTGTGTGTGTGTGTGTGTGAAGGAGAGTGTAGACTTTAAAAAAAGGTTGTCTGCTCTCTGCTTTTCCTGGTGCACTTCTGAAACATTCCTCCTAAAAGAAAAATAAATGAAGAAAAACATTTTCTCTGTCTGCGTCTGCTTCCACTATGTGTTTTAGCCTGGGTCTCTCTTTCTTTCTCTCCCTCCCTCTCTCCCTCCCTCCCTCCCTTCCTCCCTCTCTCTCAGTGTGTGTGTGTGTTACTTGCTGTTTCATTTTACCTGACTGATAAGACAACAATTTTTATAAACAATTGACGGTTTTCTAAAAGAAGCAGGCCGACCTGCTCAGACTTTATCCTGTACTAAGCAGCCTTTTGTTTCTTTTATACCTCACAACCACAGTAAAATAGTCTAACCTTTACATTTGCTTTCTTGGACTAGAAACGGGATATACTGCTTGAGGGACTTTTGCCCTCATCCCCGGGTCCTTTCTCTACATTAAAAAATATTTTAATATTAACTGAAAGATTAACTGAGTGAGAAACACAGAAACGGCGGGGGGGGGGGTGGAACATAAACACAGAGAGCCTTGGGTATTTGGTTGTTACTTTGTAACTGGGTTGCAGAAGGAGATGCTGACGCCTAATTCAGGACTGTGGACATCAACACCGCTCACAGTTTACCAGGCTACAGAGTACTCCACTTCTTGCTCTTGGCCTTCCTTCATTCTGGGGACGGGCATCATTGCTTCTCCCCCTAATCTAGATTAACGGAAAACAAGTCATAATTCGCACAAGTTTACCAAGGCTTTGCGTGTAAAGCGGGTGGTGGACTGTATTGCAAGTCGGTGCTTTAGGAGACACCCTCCTAGCATGCAGCTGCAAGCCCAAAGGGAGCAGAAAGATCTAAAGCTGGGATTCTTTTCAGATGGCTTCTGTTAACTGACTCTGGGCCCACACCAACATCCCAGAGCTCAAAGAGAGGTGGTTTCAGGGCCAAATGAAGAGTAGGTAGGGTGAGTGCAAACTCACATTCCTCCACTCCTCCTTCACTCCCCCAACCCAGGGGATAAGGAACCTACCATGTCCTGAAGAAAACTCAGAGGCTCTGGTAAAAAAAAAAACAAAAAACAAAAAAACAAAAAACTTCCCATCACATCTCATTCAGACCACTTGTAGATACCTCTGCTCTGTCTCAATCAGCAGTTTTGAAAATACACTGACCCTTGTGAAATCCACGGACTGTATTGTCTAATACTGATCTAAAATAAGATGCCTTGATGGAGGCCATGCAAGTAGCACTGGAGGATGAGGTGGCTGGGGTTTGCTGATACCAGTATAGCAACAATTAGGACCGAAGACAAAGAAGAAACCTGAAAAACAATATATATTCTCTGGTTACTAGGCAGTAGTCTGTGCTATAAAGTCTCAGTTTCGTTATTTTTTTTTTAAGTAACTTCATATTCTTTGAATTGGTCCCATTTCTCCCTGTAAGCAAAGGTTCCCAGTTTAACAAATGGGTTAAAAATGGAACTAAGCATTAGGCCTCATTTAAGAATTGACATTTGCTGCTTTGGTTTGGTTTTGTTGGGGATGAGAGGGTGGGCCATTCAGGCTGGCCTCCACACCTGATCCCAAGGGATCCTCCTGACATATGGCCTCACAATGGGGCACAGGCTCCATCCACCACTGCA